CCCCCCCCGTTTAGGTGACCAGAGGAGGTGTGCATGAAAATCTGCATGACCTGCGGCATGTATCTGCCGCATTATGGCGTGTTCGCTTGGCATCTTTAAACTCTTTAGTCGCCTGATGTGTTATATGAGACCCCATGCACGAGCAGTCATCAGTTCACATATTGACCGATGAATTATCGCCACTTTTACTATTATTTGTCACATGCGATTCCATTCACAAGTGGCCTCACTTAGAGAATGCGTCTAGTAGAGCCTAACAAAGATTTGGACGTAGTTAAGTAACAGCACAACTGGTCACTGTACCGTGAACCACGTCCTGTCTTTCCCCCCCCCCCCCCCGTACACACACGTATTCGACTCCTGTAATGGGTAATGGACAGATTATTATGCACTCTACAAGGAGACAGTGGCGAAGAAAAGGTTTCCTATATGAAGTTTACAATCGTGTTTATTTGTCCAGCAAGAAATGGGGAGATTTCGAGTAGAAAGTATCATATAATGATAGAGACGTAAGCTGTGCATTATGAAAGCTGAACAGGGCGACTGATAAATATGACTTTATTAACGATATCAATAGCTGGAACACTATTCACTCTGCTGTGGTAGAGCTACACGCATCCGTACCTGAACACATATAGTAAACGGTGTTTAGACAAACAAAGAAAAGAAACTGTAAGGAACAGTGTGAAATAAAAATGAAAAATGGTAGACAAAAGAGCGAACATGGGACGAGCACTGACTCTCAAATGAAACGTTAGTGTCCGAAACTGTGCCCAAATAACATCGGCCGCTCACCTAATGCAGGTGAGGGTCCAGTTAGAAAACACTAGTTACAAAAACCGCCAATGTGGTAACTGTCTTCGAAAGCTCGGTTGACCGAGCTCTTCGTAACCCAAAGCAATCGAGGCCTGAGGGACGCAAGTATTGGAATGTCCTCTGACGTTCGCAACCGCTACGTGGAATGCAGCCGATGTTAATTAGTCATGGTTTTGCGCAGTGTTTGAGTTGACAGTCACTGCTGGTCCCGTGCTGTCCGTCCTTTTGCCTTACGTTTTTGTTTAGCGCCGTTTATTACTTTGAATCTATATCAAATGGCCCAGGTAACTTCTTTTTATAAAAAAGAGGATGCAGGTAGTCGTGCGAAGTGCAGAGGGGCAGCATTCTTTCTTTCTTTTCAGGTTTCTTTTCTTTAGGGGCGAAACAAAGGGAAGTTTATTGCACTTCTGACAAGTAATCTAATACGTCATTCTTCCCCGACACTTATCACAGAAAAGCTCCTTAAAGCGGCACCCGTTTGTCTCTCGGAGTAGTCGTAGTCGTAGTCGTAGTGTGTAACCAGTCTTAAGTTTTGACCTCCAAGGTGGTGCCGGTGGGAGATTTCTCCTGTGCCTTGTTGAAGAATAAAGAAATTGGCAGCGTGCGCGTTAACTAAAAGCCGAATTCTCCTGTCTCTCATTCCCCATTAGCAACCATTGGCATGTACATTGAGCACTACCCGACAGGAAAAGGTTGCTACGTTATACTCGCTGGGCGTAACCTCCTTGCTTTCAGAAAGGTTTAGCGAGCGTTGGGCCGCAGTGCCATGAATACAGTGAACTAGTATATACCATGTACTCGAGGTGGTTAAAGGTGGGAAGTAGATACGAAGCGCAAGCCGTAAGAAAGTGTGCGTGTGCCACCTCTCGTTTAGTCCTTGGAATGTCCGCTAGATGGCGGTGCTTCTATATGGGGAATGTTCTGTAAAGGGCTTCACCCTATAGTTCAGGATGATGGCGCACAGTTTTTCAAAGCACTGGGGTTTAGGGACAGAGAGGGAAAAATAGACTAAGCGGGTAGACCTAACTAAAAGAAGGTTATCTGATTGGTGGCTAAAGTCATGGCACGAGTGAAAATTAAACCCTTCACTGCAAAATACGAATCCTCAACCGCACTATTTAAAGAAAAAAATAAATCTAATGATTAGTTCACTCAGTATTACGGCTAGGTGGCGTTAGCCGCCACCCGATCTAAAGGGTACAGCCAAAGGGTACATCCATCCATCCATCCATCCATCCATCCATCCATCCATCCATCCATCCATCCATCCATCCATCCATCCATCCATCCATCCATCCATCCATCCATCCATCCAATATACGATGAAAAGATGCGAGATCGTGGTACTTGTAGTGTTGAATAGATGGACGAACGGACACGCAGACAGATGCATGGACGCACGCATGGACGGCTGCATGAACGGATGGACGCATGTACGGACGCAGGGGCGGATGCATGGACGAACGCAAGGACGGACGCACGAATAGACGCACGCACGGATGGTCACACAGACGGACGCGTGGATGGACGGAAGCAAGAACGAATAGACGGACGGATGCTTCGCCCCACTCTCCATCATTTACTCCGTGGATATGCTGCCATTTTTTCTTTTCTTTTCTCCTTTTCCATTGTCTGTTTTTATTTTCTGCCTGCGTTCCTATTTATTTCTCCCCCTTTTTATCCATTTCTTTCTTTTTCTTGCTCTATGTATTTTAGTTTATGTTTTTCCTTTGTATCTCTCTATTTCACGCTTCCTTCCCTCATTCTTTTCTATTTTTATACGTGGTTCCACCTGCGTTACACCAAGCGCACTAGTTGTTTTTTTCGCTGATAATGGTCCTTGTCAAGGCGCTCGAAGAACAAGAGGAAGAAAATTTTTTCACTTGTGCGTTACGCGAAGCGACGACGACGTCGGCATACGACAGCTCTGCCCCCCAAAGAGATCCGCAGTTAAAAGTGCTTAACGACCCAGATTACCGAGTGCTCTAATAGTCATGCAATGCTTTAAGTTCCTCTTGCCGGTGATCTTTGAGTGAACTCGAACCAAATGTGAGACCCGTTATTTTATTGCACACGTAACTTGTACGGAAAACCAAGTAGCACAACTTCTGATCTCGGTTGTTACGTGCTTGTCTGCTGCTGGGAAATTCTGTCACTGAGCGCATAATAATAAAAAAAAAGTGTGCCACCGCCTTAAACAGGCATCAACACCATTAGTTTCGAAATCAAGAGTTGTCCACTCCTTTATTAAAGGTCACATTCATTCATTCGTTAGTTTAGAGCTGGCCATATATCCAAGGGCAACTAGAAGTTTGCTCGAAAATAAGTCACGCTTGCGAGCGAGGGCACCTGCAGGCATAGAGTTACCTAAATTTGCCTAGAGGGTACTCTGGCGCTGCGATCGTTCAGTGAACATGGGAATGATGGGTAGTACACACGTTTTCCTAGTCTTCGTACTTGCGGGCGGCGAGTCGTACTTACGGCTTCGTTTATTTATTTATTCATGTACCCTAAAGGCCAGAGGGCATTACATAGGGGAGGGGGTAATAGTATACATATATAGAAACTAACACGAACAATAAAGTAATAAAATGTATGAAAAAGTAAATAACAACGTATAAATAATGTACAAAATCGCAGAAAATCAATGATGAAGACAAAAGTACACTAAAAAGGAAGGCGTATCAAAAGAACAAGCGAGGCTGAACATGTATATGCTAAACAATGCTGATCATAGTCAAATAAGCGAGTTATACAGCGTGCTAAAAACCGTTATATAAGCACAGGTACATCTGGATCGGTTGTATTAGGTCATTCAAACACCAAGATGAAGCTTTAATTTGTGAGTGATTCTTCGTGGTTTTTTATACAGACAATATCGTTGGGAAGTTGAGTCCAGTGATTAACAGCAAGAAGTAATGGTGAATGTAAAAACAGGTTTGTTCGGGCACGATTTAGATTTAGAGTATATACGGAGTATATGAGAGAGCATGAAGCCTTCCCTTTGGCCTAGCGCAGTCAGCTAGCGCTGTGTTTAGAAGTAGTTGTTTACGACTTGAGTACAAGGTACTCTGCTATGGGAGAGCTTAAAGCCGTCCGTATACACATGAGAACGAATTGAAATCGGCAAACGAGTCCGGAATTCGACAGCGGATTTGTGGAGTGCTATTTCGTGCAACCACCTTTGTTGCTCAGTGTTCATGCGTACTTTTGCAAAATCTTTTCTGTTCAATATGCTCGCAAAATGTATAAGCTTTGCTTACTGATGAAGAAAATTTTGTCAATGGCATGTCTTCTTTTAGCTTAATTTTTTTTTATGAACGCAAAGACAGGAGACCAGCCCCATGAGTGTTATTCCAGTGAATGACCACGCCGAGTCTTAAACGACATGGCGCGAAAGTCGACATTGCTCGAATATCTCCCAAGCAATGTCCTCCAACAGCTCAAAAGTCACTATACGACATATTTCTTAGCAAATGGTTCATGCTTATTGGGAATGAATGACAGAACCGCTAAGTAACTGAAGCACGTTTTCTAAAAAAAATTTAGCGAAGTTTTTGTTCACTGATTAGTGTAGCTGGTGGTATTCCAAAACAAAACACTCCTCACCCACGGCTCGCGCATACGGAAAAAAACTCCCGGGACTGGGGTCGGAACCCCGGTTTCCCCAATCCGAAAGCTTGCTTGATGGATTGATATGTGGGGTTTAACGTACCAAAACCATTATATGATAGCTAAGTTCCTTTTTTGTTTTTCCACTCGCTTCGCTGGTTGCGCTACATTTGCTGCTGCCGCCAAGGAAGCCGAAGACGAGATTTTTCATCTCTGGCACCTTGAGGAAAAGACCGCTCGGACATCATTTTCGATAGAGACGTTTATTCGTTTCTCTTGTCCCCTCCTGTCCCTGTACCCCTGGTTTTATTCCCTAACTCCCCATTCAAACAATCCTACAATTCAATCTGAACACAGGAATATCTCTCTCCTCGACTCTCAGTTGACTGCCGTTGAAAGTGCCAGGCACGTAGTCCTTCCTCCTCGGATCTTCCTCGAAGAACCACAGCCTCTCATCGCCACTAATCTTCGTTCACACCATTTCCCGGAACGTTCGGCGTCCGGCGTCGACGGTCCGTGGGAACGCACCTCCCGGATACGTGCCTGCCACGCTGGGCTGACAGGCCATCAGTATGACTGGCCCGTGTATCAATGCCGCCGCTGCCACTGGTTTCGGTTGCTACAGCGGAGCGCAAGTGCACCTTCCACCCTTGCAGCCGGACTCGGCTCTTGTCTCCAGTAAGGCGCCACCACTAAGCCCCTTGGGAGAAGTGAGTTTTCGCGTCCTTTATGACCGACAGACAGCCGTCGTTCCGCCAGTTCAGTGGTACCGGTTACATTATGGCACGGGCCCACCGTCAGTTGTGCACCATGTTCCAACCCAACAATGGTTATGAGAGACGCTGTAGTGGAGAGCTCCGAAAATTTTGACCCCCTGGGGCTCATTAACGTGCACCCAAATCTGGGAACACGGGCCTACAGCATTTTCGTCTCCATCGAGAACGCCGCCGCCACAGCCGGTATTCGATCCCGCGACCTGCGGGTCAGCAGCCGAGTACCTTAGCCACTAGACCACCTAGGCGGGGCCCCAATCCAAAAGCGCCTGCCTTAAATACTAGGCCACGCGTCTTTGTTTTTCTTTATTTCCTGGTGCACTAGCTACAGCAAGATTAGGATACACACAAATACTTTAGTGACACACTGATTCAACACTGCTTAGTCTAGGGCTCTTTCATATCGTTAAGCACGCCAAGTATAGTGAACCTGTCTGGTCGAGTAGGCTGGGCTCCAAAAATCTCCCCGATTTGCGCAACATTGTCAATGGAAGCGCCTCTCGAACATTTTACGTGCACCTCCGCGTGGCATACCTGCATTCGCGTTGTCCACAGTCCATGCAGACCCAGAATCAATAAAATGTCATATGTAGTGGCTGGGCCCGTCGTCTTGACCAAAGTGAACTGAACTGAAGCATATGAATGTGTTATACCGATGATGTGACAAAACAGTTCGAGAGCAGTACACTTGCTGTGGGTGCTTCACTGCAATATTTTGTGATGGCGTACTCACAGTGATCTCCTGGATAACGCTTTAAGGTCGATATCAGTCATTGCACGTTTCAGGGATATCCGAACTTTGAAAGAATTGAACTACTTACCCACGTTTTTCTTTTGAACGTGTCATGTTCCTTTCATTAGGCCGTTCGAGGGGCCGACGACGTTAGAGAGAACACGAAAGTTTTTATGAAATAACTAAATAAGTAAATAAATAAATAAATAAATAAATAAATAAATGAAATAAATAAATAAAGGAAGAAAGAAAGAAAGCTTCACTAGTCCCCGTTTCCTCAATTGTTCGAGGGGTGTTGATATTTATAACCTCCTTGGGAACACCTCTTCAAAACAACGCTCTCAGAATCTATCTATCTATCTATCTATCTATCTATCTATCTATCTATCTATCTATCTATCTATCTATCTATCTATCTATCTATCTATCTATCTATCTATCTATCTATCTATCTATCTATCTATCTATCTATCTATCTATCTATCTATCTATCTATCTATCTATCTATCTATCTATCTATCTATCTATCTATCTATCTATCTATCTATCTATCTATCTATCTATCTATCTATCTATCTATCTATCTATCTATCTATCTATCTATCTATCTATCTATCTATCTATCTATCTATCTATCTATCTATCTATCTATCTATCTATCTATCTATCTATCTATCTATCTATCTATCTATCTATCTATCTATCTATCTATCTATCTATCTATCTATCTATCTATCTATCTATCTATCTATCTATCTATCTATCTATCTATCTATCTATCTATCTATCTATCTATCTATCTATCTATCTATCTATCTATCTATCTATCTATAGATCGAACTGAAGACTCGACGTGTGTTCCTGCGGCGCACCGAGTGCGAAAGCTGCTCCCTGCGCGACCTGTTCTGGGGCAACGTGGTGGCCGTTCTCTCGCGACACCTGCGCATCCTGGGTTACGCCGACGCCCAGACTGCCGCATTTCTCGCACCTAAGCACGAACGGTACGGCGCAAAATGACGCTCACACCTCTTTGTGTTACTGCAGTATTTCCGCGTTTATTTATTTATTTATTTATTATTTCATGCCTACTCGGGCCCACATTTCGGAATTCAAGGCTGCGCGCATGTTTTGTTAATTTGAAACATGGTCACAGTGCGCTACACGAGATACGTAAATGGTTCGTTAGTCAATCGTACGTGACGTCCCAAAATCGACTGCTTCCCGGCTGTTTAACTCCGAATTTCTCTTTTTACAAGATTCTCTCCCACCCCAGATTCCAACCTCCTTCCCCTCCACTCTCTGCCCCTTATGTTGACCGCCACGGCCGATTAGTCGCCACAGTGCTCTACTGTTGACCAGAAGGTCACGGGTTCGATCCCTGCTTCGGCGATCACATTTCGATGGAGGCTGAACGGTTGACGCCCGCGTACGGTGCGATGTCACTACACGTCAAAGAGCACCAGATGGTCAAAATTTCGCGAGCCTTCCACTATGGCGTGTCTCATAACTATATCATGTTTTCAGGACGTTTCGTGTCCTCATTATTATCAATATTTTCCTGTAATACTTTCCCTTTTTCGCGAGCCTGCTTTGCTCGGTATGGGGGATTGCCAAGTTCCCGTGGCACATACCCGCCCAAGTTCCTGCTCAAAATTTGGGTAGGAACAGCTGCTTAAAGAGCTCCGCTCTTTGTTTTTCAAAGCACTCGTCATGTTGCTACACGATCCCCAGTAGGTGAAGTACCAAAGCCACATGCAGTGGTCAGAGACAATGAGCAAGAGCATGTATGTGCGACTCCAAACGGGCTGCAAATTTTCAAGATGTGCTATTAATATGGACAAACATACTGGTGAATTTTCCCATTCCAATGAAGCGCCGCTCTTGCCATAAGAAGAGCACATTACCTGCTACTTAAAGTTAAACATTTAGTTTTTAGATGTGAATCAGTTCTTTGACCAGCCCGTGTAACGCTGTCCGTCTGTGTCTCCGTACTAACGCGCCACACCGTGTTCTCCCCGCCGCAGTTGTTTGAATGATGCCAAGTATATCTAGTTGAAGCTGCGTGACGATGTCACTCTCTCTCTCACCCGCAGCAGCTGCTGGCTCCTCCAAACACGCCTAGGTTACAGTGTACTAAAAGGGGACAGTAAAGTGAACGAGGCGGCCGCGCCGCATCTCGGCTGATTCTCCAGCGGGTGACAGTAGCGGCGGCGCTGTAGTCCCATGGTACTGAAGACCTTAAGAGCGTCTGCATTGGGAGCGTGCGCACCCGAGTCTGCGAAAGCGTGTAATTGCTCGTCTTCAGCGCGTTTAATGAATTTCTAAGCCTTTATCAGTGGACGCACTTGCTACGCGCCATGGTTGACGAGTAAATATGCAGGCACGCCGAATTTGCGTCGATACATTCACTGTTTCAAAAGCCTGCGAACCCCCCCCTCCCCCCCCCCCCAAAAAAAATGTCAATCGGAATTTGCATGGATCCATCTAGCTTCTTACTCAATGCACTTTGAGCTACGATACATCAAAAGTGGCTACTGACGATCTACAAAGAGAGGGGAAGTATAAAAACCATGATTAAATCATACGCTCGTTTTGTCGGCAGTCTCTACGATATCCAGAGCACAGTGTTCCTCATATGAGCCTACATGCGCTCCATTGTTTCACAAGAAACCCGAGTATAAGTAACGTTGTCACAATATTAATAGGTGACGACTCTGTTTTATCATGCCAGTTTTGCGGAATATAATATTTATTGATTTCCGAAAGGCTTATTACATATTAAGCTTATTAAAACAACACACAAGCATATTAAAAAAAGTGCCGATTGTATATATTGCCCGTCTGTTAATCTGCGCAAATTCATTGTAACCAGTTCTCAATTTGTATTGACAGCTTAAGTTGTGCTGCGCTCCAAATATTCTATTGGCGTAACGCCATTGCAAGCGAGCAAATTTATGACGATTGTTTTGTATTATCAGCGTAGTTCTATTATTAAGAAATGTAACTTGTATATGCACACACCCCCCCCCCCCCACACACACACACAATATATATATATATATATATACATATATATATATATATATATATATATATATATATATATATATATATATATATATTGTCACGGTACAGCGTGAACCAAAGGCAGATAAACGTTGACACAGGGACTCTCAGCAGCCAAACAGCAAGATCGCCTTCTTTATCTTCAATCAGCCAGAGCTCCACTACCTGGTGTCCGCCAAATCCCCTTGTCGTCGTTTTGGTCCACCAGTACACACGCGTCATTTGCCCCCCCCCCCCCCCCTCTTAATGAGCATCGCCCCGATGCTAAACCAGTAGTGCAGTTTTTTTTTCTGTTCTTTAATAAGTGTCTTGCACAGTCACTACCTTTCATAAGGCTTCATGCGCACAACGTGAACTAGTTCAGGACGGTGCTGGCGAAGCCTCGTACTATGTGAACTGTCGGGGACGACCTCGTAGGTAACATCACTCAGCCGTCGCAGTACTAGGTATGGCCCAAAGTATCTCCTTAGAAGCTTTTCAGATAGTCCTCGTTTCCGTATGGGCGTCCAAACCCATACTCTGTCGCCGGTCTGGTAAATGACTGTTCTGCGGCGAGAATTGCAGCGGCTCGCGTCGTACTCTTGTTGTTGCTGGATTCGCAGGCGTGCTAGTTGTCTTGCTTCTTCCGCTCGTTCTGTAAACATCTTGGCGTCCGGTTCGATGTCGTCGCATTCGTGCGCTAGCATCGCATCTAACATGGTTCGTACTTCCCTTCCGTGAATTAGGCTGAACGGGGTCATCTGGGTTGTTTCTTGCTTGGCAGTGTTGTATGCAAACGTTATACATGGCAAGATTTCGTCCCAATTTTTGTGTTCGACGTCTACGTACATAGAAAGCATGTCTTCAATTGTTTTGTTCAGACGCTCTGTAAGCCAGTTCGTTTGCGGGTGGTAGGCGGTGGTCTTACGATGGGTTGTTCCACTCAGCATGAGGACTTGTTCCAAAAGAGCTGCCGTAAATGCGGTTCCTCTGTCTGTGATTACGACGCTTGGTGCACCATGCCGCAGGACAACGTTCTCGATGAAAAATTGTGCCACCTCCGCTGCTGTACCTCTCTGGATAGCTTTTGTTTCAGCATAACGGGTAAGGTAATCAGTCGCGACAATAACCCAGTGGTTCCCAGCAGTAGAAGTAGGAAGTGGACCCAAAATATCCATGCCAATCTGGTCGAATGGTGTTCTTTGGGACCTGCACGGGCTGCAGGAGGCCAGCTGGTTTAGTCGGCGGTGACTTCCGTCGCTGGCAGTCGAGGCAAGTACGAACATGGTGTTTTACGGCTACGGTCAGTCTTGGCCACAAGTAGCGCTGCCGTACTCTGGCCAACGTTCTTGTGTAACCTAAGTGGCCTGAAGTCACCTCGTTGTGGCATGCTTCGAGTACTTCGGAGCGAAGGGCTGCTGGGATGACGAGCAAATACGCAGATCCTCTCGAAGAGAAGTTTCTTTTGTATAGTACGCCGCTCCGTAAGCAAAATGATGACAGCGCTCTTACGAAAACAGTTGGTGCCTTCTGAGATCTTCCCTCCAGGTAATTAATTAGGGCAAGTAACTCAGGGTCGCCACGTTATTGCTGTGCAATAGCGGTTGAGTCAAGCACGCCGAGAAATGCTGTTTCCTCCTCATCGGATAAAGTTGCCGATTCAATGGGTGAGCGGGATAGACAGTCGGCGTCCATGTGGCGCTTTCCTGACTTGTGTATGACAGTCATGTCGTACTCCTGCAGCCTGAGACTCCAACGCGCTAATCTCCCGGTAGGATCTTTAAGATTTGTCAACCAACACAGTGCGTGGTGGTCGCTGATGACTTCGAAATGGCGGCCGTATAAATACGGACGAAATTTTGTGACCGCCCATACCACGGCGAGGCATTCCTTCTCGGTTGTGGAGTAATTAGTCTCGGCGCGTGTTAGTGTTCGGCTTGCATAGGCGATTACTCTTTCTGTGTCTTCTTGCAGCTGCACAAGCACAGCTCCCAAACCAATATTGCTGGCATCCGTGTGTAGCATCGTTGGGGCTTTCTCATCAAAGTGGGCAAGCACTGCAGGCGTCTGTAGTCGCTGGCGGAGGTTCTTAAAAGCAGCTTCCTCTTCGTTGCTCCATTGGAAAGCAACGTCTTCTCTCGTGAGGCGGGTCAACGGTGATGCGATGCGTGCGAAGTCCGCGATGAATCGCCTATAATACGCACATAGTCCGAGGAATCGTCGGACAGCCTTCTTATCAGTCGGCACCGGGAACTGTGCAACAGCTGCGATCTTTTCAGGATCAGGACGAACGCCTGCGTGACTGACAACGTGGCCAAGAAATTGCAGCTCTTCATAGCAAAAGTGGCATTTTTCAGGCTTCAACGTCAAGCCCGCTGACCGTATGGCTTGTAAAACTGCCTCAAGCCTTTTAAGGTGCTGGTCAAACGTTGCGGCGAAAACTACGACATCATCAAGGTAGACCAAGCAGGTTTTCCACTTCAACCCAGAGAGTACGGTATCCATAAGTCTTTGAAAGGTAGCAGGCGCTGAACATAAACCAAAGGGCAAGACTTTAAATTCATATAAGCCATCTGGTGTCACAAAAGCAGTCTTCTCACTGTCTCTTGGGTCTACCTCGATTTGCCAATACCCACTCCTTAAGTCCATCGATGAAAAGTAACGAGCATGTCGAAGTCTGTCGAGAGAGTCATCTATACGAGGAAGTGGATACACATCTCTCTTTGTCACCTGATTGAGTTTTCGGTAATCTACACAGAAGCGCAGGCTGCCATCTTTTTTTTTAACGAGGACTACAGGTGACGCCCAGGGGCTTTTTGAGGGCTGAGTGACGTCATCTTCTAGAATTTTGTCGACTTGCTCTTGTATCACTTCGCGTTCCTTTGCAGCCACGCGATAGGGGTTTTGGTGAATTGGTCTCGCCATGTCCTCGGTAATTATCCGATGCTTGGTGAGA